CCTTTCTCCCATTTCACCCACCTCCAACCCTACCTCCTCTCTGGCAATAACCAGTCTTTTCTCTGCATCTATGAATTTGTTTTGTTTTTTATATTTTCTATACAGATGAAATGATATACTATTTATCTTTCTCTGCCTGACTTATTTCACTTATCATAATACCCTCTAGGTCCATCCATGCTGTAGCAAATGACAAGATTTTACTCTTTTTTATGGCTGAGTCATATTCCACTGTATTTATGTACCATTTCTTCTTTATCCATTCACCTATTGATGGACACTTATGGATGTTTGCATATCTTGGTTATTGTGAAAAATGCTGCAATGAACATGGAATGCATATATTTTTTTGAATTAGTGTTTTTGTTTTCTTCAGATAAACACCCAGAAGTAGAATAGCTGGATCATATGGTGATTCTCTTTTTAGTTTTTTGAGGAAATTCCACATTGTCTTCCATTGTGGCTGCACAATTTACATTCTGACCAACATTGCATTGGCATTCTCTTTTCTCCACATCTTTGCCTACATTTACTGCTTCTTTTCTTTATGTAAGGGCCATTATGACATGTTTGAGACAATCTGTGGTTCTAATTTTCATTTCCACGATGATTACTGATGTTGAGCAGTTTTCATGTACCTGTTGGCCATCAGTATATCTCTCTTGGAAAAATTTCCATTCACATCCTCTGCCCATATTTTCATTGGATTTTTTTTGCTATTGAGTTGTATTAGCACTTTATAGTTTCTGGATATCAACCCTTATTGGATATACAATTAACAATATATCTTCTCCCATTCAATAGTCTGCCTTTTTATTCTGTTGATGGTTCCCTTCACTGTGCATAAGCCTTTTAGATTGATGTAGAAACAGTTGCTTATTTTTGCTTTTGTTGTCATTGCCTTTGTAGTCAGATCTAAAAAATATCACCAAAAGAGATGTCAAAGAGCTTATAGAGTGTTTTCTTCTAGGAGTTTTATGGTTTCTAGGCATATATTCAAATCCTTAATCTATTTTTGAGTTGATTTTTTATGAATGACATAAGACAGTCCAGTTTCATTCTTTTGCATGTGGTTGTCCAGTTTTCCCAACACCATTTATTGAAGAGACTGACCATTCCCCATTGTATATTCTTGCCTCATTTGTGATCAATTAATTGACCATATGTACATGGGTTTATTTCTGGGATCTTTATTCTGTTTCATTGATCTATATGTCTCTTTTTATGATAGTATCATACTGTTTTGATTACTATACCTTTGTAGTACAATATAGTTTGAAATCAGGGAGCATGATGTCTCCAGCTATGTTCTTTCTCACGATTGTTTGGCTATTCAAGATCTTCTGTGGTTGCATAAAAATTTTAGGATTGTTCTTTTTCAGTGAAAAATAGGATTGAGATCTTGACAGAGATTATACAGAATCTATAGGTTGTTTTGGGTAATATGGACATTTAACAATATTAATTCTTGCAGTACATGATCACAGAATATCTTTCATTTGTGTCTTCAGTTTCTTTCATCAATGTCTTGTAGTTTACAGTGTCTAGGTCTATCACATTCTTGGCTTGATTTATTCCTAGGTATTTTATTCTTTTTGATGTAATTATAAATGGAATCATTTTCTTAATTTCTCTTTCTGATAATTCATTGTTACTATATAAAAACAAAAGAGATTTTTGTATACTGATTTTGTACCCAGAAACTTTAACAAATTCATTTAATAGTTCAAACAGTGTTTTTGGTGGAGTCTTTAAGGTTTTCTATATATAAAATCATGTTATCTTCAAATTGTGATAGTTTTTCCTTTTCCTTTACAACCTGGATGCTTTTTATTTCTTTTTCTTACCTAAATACTGTGACTATAACTTCCAATACTATGTTGAATAAAAGTGGAGAGTTAGTATCCTTGTCTTTTTCCTAATATTAGAGTAAAAGCTTTTAGCTTTCCACCATTGAATATGATGTTAGTTGTGCATTTTTCAAATATGGCCTTTGTTATGTTGAGATATGTTCCCTCTATAGCCACTTGGTTGAGAGTTTTTATCATAAGTGGATGTTAAATTTTGTCACATATTCTGCAATTTTTCAAATGCCTTTTCTGTATCTATTGAGATGATCATGATTTTCATCCTTCATTTTGTTAATGTATCTTTGTGTGGATCTTTTCAGGATGTTGAACCATCCTTGCATCCCTGGAGTAAATCTGACTTGATCATAATATATGATCTTTTTAATGTAGTGTTGCCTTCAGTTTACTAATACATTGTTGAGGATTTTTTCACCGATGTTACTCAGGGGTATTGGCCTGTGTGTGTCCCTATATCTGAGGCAAGTCTTTTGTAGCAGCATATAGATGGATTAAAAAAAATTCTTTTGATTGAAGAATTTAGTCTACTTACACTTAAAGTAATTATAGATAGATAGGTACTTACTGCTATTTTGTTAATTGCTTTCTGACTTTTTTGTAGTTTCTGTCTGTTCCTTTCTTCTCTTGCTCTCTTCCTTGTTGTTTGATGTCTATTTATATTATATTCCAGTCTCAATATACATATTTTATATATATTTGCATATTTTCCTGTTACTAATTATTTATCCTTTCTTTTCAGTTTAAAGAAGTCCCTTTAACATTTCTTATAAGACCATTTTAGTGGTCCTGAACTCCTGTAGTTTTTGCTTATCTGGGAAGTCTCTATTTGAGTAGTTTTTGCTTATCTGGTTATCCTTTCTTTTCAGTTTAAAGAAGTCCCTTTAACATTTCTTATAAGACCATTTTAGTGGTCCTGAACTCCTGTAGTTTTTGCTTATCTGGGAAGTCTCTATTTGAGTAGTTTTTGCTTATCTGGAAAGTCTTTAATTTTCTTCAATTATGAAATAAAATCTTGCCAAGTAGAGTATTCCTGGTTGGAAATTTTTTTGCTTTCAGCCATTGAATATATCATGCCACTTCCTTCTGGTATGCAAAGTTTCTGTTAAAAATACTGCTGATAGACTTATGGATGTATGTTTGCATGTAACTGTTTTTATCTTGCTCCTTCTAAGGTTTTCTTTTCCTCTTTAACTTTTGCATTTTAATTATAATGTGTCTTTGTGTGGATCTTTTCAGGTTCATGTAATTTTGAACTTTCTAGGCTTCCTGGATCTGTATGTCTGTTTCCTTCACCAGGTTAGGAAAGTTTTTAGCCTTTATTTCTTCAAATAAGTTTCCTGTCTTTTTTATCTCTCTTTCATTCAGGAACACCTATTATGCAAATGTTGTTCTGCTTGATGTTGTCCTATAGGTCCCTTAAGCTATCTTCACTTTTTAAAAATCTTTTTTTCTTTCTGCTATTCTGTTTAGGTGAGCTCCCTTGCCCTGTCTTCCAGGTTACTAATCCTGCTTTATCCAGTGTGCTGTTAAAACCCTCTGTTGTATTTTTCAGTTCAGTTATTGTATTCTTCAGCTCTGTGACTTGTTTTTGCTCTTTCATATATTTTCGTCTCTTTATTGAAGCCCTCTCTGTGTTCATCTCTTTTTCTCTGAATAGCAGTGAACATCTTTAAAATCATTACTTTGAACCCTTTGTCAGTTAATTACTTCTGTTTCATTAAAAAATTTTTTCTATGGTTTTATCTTATTCCTTCATTTGGAATTCATGTTTCCTCATTTTGCTTGATTCTCTGTGTTTGTTTTTGTGTATTAGGTGAAACTTCTACCTCACTCAGTCTCGAAGAAGAGGTAATAGGATCACTGGGGATGTGTTTAATCTGCGTCTGTGAAGTGCTGTGGGGGTGGTAGCCTAAGAAGAACTGTCCTCTGATTGCTGCAGTTCTGTGAGTCTCAGAAATGCAATCATGACCGTCCCCAGTCAGCAGAATCATGCATTCCAAGGCTGTCCCCTGTGTGGACTGCACACATCCACTGGCTTTGGTGGAGCTGCTGAGAAACACCAGGCCAGGGCCTCAGGGGAGCCCTGGGTTGGGTCAAGCCTACCTGCCAGGTTTGTAGGGTAGAGTTTCAAGAGAGAAAAGGGCCAGGGTAAGTCTGCCCACCAGGTTTAGCAGAACATAGCTGTAGAAGAGCACATGGGTAGGGCATGCAGCACTAGAAAGACAGATAGAAAGTACAAAAATGACACCTACCAGTGCCTCTGCCTCTGGAGAGTTCCAATAGACCCCTACCAGCCTATGATTTAAAATTAACAAATGAATCTCCTTTAAATATGGTCTAGGTGCTTTAAATTTGCTGTTTTTGTGCTGGATCCCAGGGTGAGTGAGTCTGTGAGCTCTCAGTTTAAGAGCAGACTCTTAATTTCCCACAGACCTTTAGGACTCCTGGAAATACACCCACTGACTTTCAAGATGTTTTCTCTAACATATTCTCTCTGGTACACATCCCAAGGATAGGGGTGCCTGATGTGGTCCTTGAATCCCTTGCTCCTCAGAACTATCAGAACTACGCTCTGTATTTGTGAGATCCATCCCACTTGTGGGTTGCCATGCTGAGGTGGAGTTTTTGGAGAGATTATGCCTCTGCCTTTCCTACCCGTCTCAGTGTGGCCTTTTTATCCTTTAAAAGGAGTTGTTCAATAAGTTTTGGGTCCTTTTCAGAGAATTGTTCTATATATAGCTATAAATTTGGTGTGTCTATGGGAGGCGTAAGTTCAGGGTCTTCTTATGCTGCCACCTTGAACCCTATTCTCAATTAATTTCAATTTAGTTGTGTAGAGTCCATCTTAAAATTTCTTACTATTCTGAAGATAAGGAAATAATCATTCCAATATGTAAGAAATGCAAGGGTTGTCCTCTTGACCCCAAAAGAGATCATAATCAACAAGAATCAAACAGCCTCTATTTAGTGGTTAGAAGTTGTATTGCCATTTTCTTCTTACTATTTCTTACAGAGAAATAGGCAATTCTGTTAACAGCTTGATTGCAAACTATCTAAGTCTAAAAGGTTACTTTATTTCTTACAGGCATCCTTTAAGAGTTTATTATAAAGAAAGTATTGCAGGGAGAATACCTTTTAGGTGTGTCTCTAAAGAGATAACTGCTAATTTCAGCTCCATCTGGAATTACTGATGAATCATGGAAAAATGCCTTGTCCCGGATCTGCATCTGAAAAAGTTCTTCATCTCGTGTGGGTAACTTTTGGGTCCTAGAGCTCAGTGGTAATAGCAGCCACAGCAGACACCAGTGGAGAGGCATCATCCTGGGGTAACAGAAAAGATGGCTTACGTTAGTTGTGCAGCAGACACTTCGGCAAATTGCACTTTGTAAAGGGTTAACACTATTTTAGTTCTGACAAAAAGTTAAACCTGCATTATGTATTTTGGATACATGCACATAATCTTAAATCACATTTTGTTTTTTCAAAGTATTTCCTGTTTTTTCCCCCCAATATTTCATGGAGTTAATAATGAATTCACTAGAATTTTAGATATTAAAAAGATTTTGAAATGAAAGGATTCTTGGTCCATTAATTTCCCTGGTTATCCAGAGAGAAAATCCCCATTTTCAATAGCAGAAGTCAATATGGTCATTACAGAAATCTGAATACAAAAGTCTCAAAGCTTGAACTATAAGTTACAGAGACCTATTGGTCAGAATTATTATTCTTCTTGACACAATTTTTGTTATTCTTCTTTGAAATTTGACCAAGAATTATATGTGTAAATTATTATTATTCCCAAGATCATATTTTCATAAAATCAGATATTTTTATAGATTATAAAGTTGAAATTTCTGATAGGTTAAGCAATTTGTCCAGAATCACATGATGAGTTATTTACTGATGTCTAATTATTATAGATGTCCAGACTCCTCAACACAACATTTATATATAAGCCTTTACTTTATGAGAAAGTGGGTTTGGATTCCTACTCTCAGATCAAGTGAGCCATTAGAAAGCTGAATAGTTAAGTCATTTGTCATAACCACCAGCAGAGTTATATAATTACTACTCCAGCAGAGAATTTTTGTTGAGTTACATTTTGGCATTCATCACAGACTTTCATCAAAGATCTTATAATTATGGATCACTCTCTGCTGCACATTGCTGTAGGGGTGTTAAGGACACCATCTTCCACAAGTTTCATGGTTCCCACCAGGAAACCTCAGGCAAGTTCTTTTCATGTCAAGTGCTTGTGGAAGGCTTTGCTTCCTCTGAGGATTTGGTTCTTTTCTTCCTCATGGAAAAAACTATGTAAGGAGTTGTTTTCCCTTATCTCTTTGACAACATATATCAGGAAACTCAAGCATTAGAGAAATACAGTGTTTTTACATTTAAAGTACTTTAGTGAGAAAGTGAAATGCAAATATTTGCAATAACTTGAAATTAAGTGAATGCCAGTTTTATTTCTAAAGAGCCATTACTATAGCTGAGATCACCTCTACTTAAACTATCATTTGACTTTAATTGAATGCTATCTCTTAGTGCTATGAGAAACAATCATACAACTAAAAATGTTTTTAAGCATATAAACTTTTCTTTTTTATGACAGTGTCAGAAGTAGGTTTCTCACAGTGAGCATTCTCAGAGTTCATTCAACTTCTTTTTTCCAAAACAATTTTTCCTACCATGTGTGTCTGCAGTTTTCCATACAAAATATCATCACTAATTGAGTGTTACTATGTGCAAAACACAGTGCTAAGTTATTAACTGCACTGTTGCACTTAGTCCTCATAACAACCTTATGAAGTAGGTACTACTCTTATAAAAAAGAATAAGCTTCTGTTTACATAAGCAGAGAAAGGATATAAATCCAGATGAATCTGATTACAGAGACCAAACTTTTCTCCTCTATATTATCTCTCAAGAAAGCCAACAATAATTTCTTATAAGAGACTCTTATTTCCCATCCTTATTTCTCAATTTTACTGTATTGGATGAAAACTTGACTGAGAGCTAAGAAACTTGACTTTTTTGTTTCAGCTCCTAACTGGATGTGTAATCTTAGGCAATTCACTTAACCACATTGAACCTCAATTTTCTGAAGGGTTTGGATAGATGATCTCTACACTCTGAAAATGAATGGTTCTGAGACTGAATACTGAACTCCTCTTTCCAACTAGCTAGCAGTTTAGAAATAAGACAAGGCCTCCTTAAGTTTCATTAAATAATCTGCCTCTCGGATATCCAGATGACTGTTAGGGTGAAATTCAAAGGAAGCTGAGGATGTAAGCAGAAGCTCACAGGAGGTACTAACAGCAGACAAGAGTTATATGTACAGAAGATGGCTGGATGGACCAAAATCAAGACAGTGAACCTATCTGAAACAGAGACATGGTGGGCTAAGCTGGATGGGACCTCCACCCATGACTCTTAGTCCTTCCTTTTCCTCTCTGATGTCCTTCCTCTTGAGCTAACAGAAACAGAAACTGTGAACAGAATTTGATATGCTGCCCCTGTTAAGAAATACTTATTATTTCAGCCTAATAAAACATAGTCCACTTGCTTTGTTGTAGCATTCCTGAAACTTGACCCAATCCAGTGCTCCTGAGAACAGATGATGCTAGACAATAAAGTATGTCTCTTTAGAAAAGGTTAGAATTTGACTTTCCATACTGATTAGGAAATTAAAGCAAACATGCCAGGGCAGCATTTGAGTATGAGATACTCAGGCATATTTGCCCTAGTTCCACTCAGGGGCAGCCTAGCCTCATGAATGCTCATGTTTGCCCATGAAGCCGTCACTTGCACAGGACCACTGCACAACAGAGTAGGATAAGCTGCCCAATGCTACAGGGTATTTGGGATATGTGGGCAGCCCCAGAGTTAGAGAACTAGCTAATTCTGATTGGTGGGAATTTTCCAAGCATCCTCAGCTGCTCCTGGGAAAAACTTTTTCCTTATTAAATCAATAATTGGAGATGAATTTTGAATTAATACAATATTAATAAATTTTATTGTCTACATACTGCACAGCAGGCACTCTTCTAAGTGCTTTATGTATATATTATCTCATGAAATGCTAGCCACAACCCTATGATGTAGGGTTTCAGAAAGGATCAAACTGAGGCTTAAATAGTTAAGATCATAGTGAATACAATATGATGTGAGAAATATGAACCATTTATCATGACTGTCTTTAAAAATATGGTATATATGATTATTATGTATTTCCCATATCAGCTATTTGGCAATTTAATATTTATTGAAGTGAACAATTTCAGATGATAGCTTATTCAGAGTAAGTATTGGGATACAATTCTCCAGGGGTCTCTGGGCTTGTTTTTGCTTATTTTGGGAGCAGAAGAATTGACTGCTTTGTGCTACAGATTGTCTTTTCAAGGATATCTGTGTAGTGAACAGCCTTGGAAGATAAAGCCTCTGGAGAAAAGAGAGAGCATGATAAAAGATCTGGGTTCCCTAAGCTCAGGACTCCAGTCTTGTAATAAACCTTGCTATATGGCTGGTGCCATCTGGCCTCTTTGCATCATCCTGTAGGAAAAGGGAGGTCAGGGAGCCAGTGGGAGGAAATGATGATGCTGTGGAGTCTGCTACTGCTCTGAGTAACAAAGTCCTCTGTCTCTGGCCCAGGAATCTTGTGCCATCTAGCACCAACGTAACTATGGAAGGCTAACTTGCTAGCTTGCAAGTAGGGTGAGATCTCACACTCTTCACAGTTCTTGACACTAAGTCATTATTTTACTGACTTACCTACTTTACTGCCTCAGGTAGATATTTTTATGTTGATTGCCACCAACAGGAAATAGATTTCCACTTTACTCTTTGTTTTCTTTACAAAAACTGTCATATTTTTGCAGCTAAAATGCTATCAGGTCATACTTTCTGTTTCTAACCATTTTAATTGCCACAGCAATTATGGACAAAACAGATACTTTTCAAAAGAGTGCTTTTTATTTTTATTTTCTCCTTTTTTTTGTATCTATATAAAAAGATGGCTGTTAGCTGAACCCATACTGGTGATTGTTTCATAATACATATAAATCAAACTGTCATGATGTATGCCTTAAACTCATATGGTGACGTATGTCAATTACTTTTCAATTAAACTGGAGAAAATTAGTATGATCCCAAAACATGGGCACTTTGTGTTCCATAGGATTATAATTTTCAAAAGCTATCTGATAACATTCATATATTGGTGAAGAAAAATGTGCTCAATTATTAGGGAAAGTTAACCATTTGTTCAATTTGATCAAGTTACAAGCAGAATTTTTGGTAATGAAATATATTTAAAAGAAGCATTGAATATAGCTAATCAAAAAACTATCATACAGACATTTGTGCATATTTTTATAGCTTATATTCACTGACTGAAATTTAAGATTTTACTTAGATATGGTTTAAAGGAATGTTTTAAGATTTTATAGATTTTCCCCTCCTAATAAAACTTTCTTTCTCAGATATTCAGCATAAGAATTAGTCACTTTTAATAAACAACTGAAAATACATTCCTCTTAAGAATAAGACTTAGGTAGGCTGGTCTGTAAGAACAGACTTTTCTTCTAAAATTACAAAAGTGCCCTCTAATGGCATAACTTTTCTCATTTCTTTTTGTTACTTCTAGATATCCAGAGCTTATTTTTAAACTAAGTAGCACTGCTCAGAATTTCAACATTATTTCTTTTGTCCCGGGCATCTCGTGGATAATCTAAGAAACGTCTCTGTACAGCAAGAAATCTTGCCATATCTCTCTACAATCAAATGTCCAGCAAGAGTAGAAAGTTGCTAGGATGATTACAGATATTTTTATTTTGTTAGGCAGATCTATCAACTTGGCTTCACAATTATTCACAGCCCAAGAAAACTAGGTGGTATTATCCTATTTACTGAGATTCACTTTGATGATTTCAATTGAAAACTTCTGATGAATCAGGTATAGAGATGCTAATCTAAAACTCTGATACTACTCATGTTGTCAAAGGCATTCATTCTATCTGGTACACATACCTTCAGATCCACCAAGAATTAAATGAGAAAAGAGAAATGACTTAATGATTTAATATCCTCAATGTTTAATCCAGATTATTAACAACCTAGATTATTGGTGATGTGAGATAGTTTTATCCTTTGGAATGCCAGTGTATCCTAGATTAAAAGAAGAAATTGTTTTTGAAATATAATTGTGCAGAGATTAACCGTGTGTTAATCAAAGTGTTAATCAAAAGTGTTCTATACTTACAGAGGTAGAAGTTTGGGCACTGAAAAGTAAATATCTTTAAATATAATTAATTTATATGACA